GAGAGATGTCAAAATAACAAGTGAAAGCCTTCCACACAATAGGTGTAAGTTCAATTCTCTTTATTCTCTTTTTCTTTTTCTTCCTCTTCTCTGATCCTTTAATGTAATAGAAAAAAAAACATAACGTGAGAGAGACACACAGCCCTTCAAAAAATAAGAAAAACTAACCAAACAATAAAATCACTATAATCATAATTTTCACAAAATATAAACCAAAACCATTAGGCAATGAAGTCAAATGCTTCTCTATCATTGAAGGCACTAAAAATGAATTTTAATTCATATAATCAGAATGTACTAGAGCTTCCACAACGCTTCCTTAATTTTTCACGTGGTGGTCGATATTTATAATACGAGCCGACTAATCAAAATTCTTGACAAAAAAATCTATTCAAAGATAAAGTTTTTTTTTCTAAAGGCAATTTTATACACATATCTCGAACTCGAGACACCTGATTAAATATAAAGAGTATTTATCACTCCGTCCTATATTTTGGTAGTTCTTTCCTTTCTATTAGAAGGAAGTCATTATAATCATAATTTTTCACAAAATATAATAACTAAAGCCAATAGAAGTAGGCAATGAAGTCAAATACTACTCATCATTGAAAGCACTACAAATGAATTATAATCATATAATTAGAGTGTACTAGACTTTCCATAAAGCTTCCTTTCCTTTCTATTACAAGGAAGTCATTTTGAAGACTCATTCCTTTGCATAATTGGTTATTTTAAACCTTACTAAAATTCGAGATTTCTATTGGTCAAAACATTTTTCCAAGTCCTTATTTAGTGTTTAAACAAGCGTTGTAGTGGCATGGATGAATGTGATCCCTCATTATCCATAACGAGATCTCTCGGGTTAAAAAATACTTTCTCCTTAACGAGTCTCACACGATATAAATACGGATTAGTTGGAATATAGTATAGGATGCTGGACATCGAGTGAAAAATTATATATATATAATGAAACTCAAGATTTCTATTGGCCAAGTAGTTTAAGAGTCCTTACTACTTGTTCATTGAATAAACAATACTTAATATTTATAAAGTGACTCAAGAGTTGCTCTCTTTACATATTCACGATTCAACTCCTTTAAAACTAATTTCATCACATTTAATTGATGGAATATTGAAAGGAATATCCCTATTGCGTACAATTAAATATTAAACAAACTTTCTTCTCATTTATTTGTGTGGCTAGTAATGGACTAACAGCAAATCTTTGTAAAAAGCAAAAAGAAAAAAGATATGTCCAAAAAAGAACATACAACTTGTGGTGTTTGGCTGAAAATCTTCTAAAACTGAGTTTACCAAAAAAGATCCATTTTTGCAACTTGTTTGTTAAGTTATTTTTTGCTAAACAAAGAAATTATCGTTTCTCAACTTTATTTCTAAGTATTTGTAGAAACTCAAAAGCTGGTGCAGGGGAGTCACTGCACATTGGTTATGTGAGTGACAAAGAAAAATAATTACTATCTTATTATAAACTGTTAAAATATACTGATAAAATAATTTCATATTATGAGTATAAACTAGTTAAATTTATATCCAATAGTAGTTAATAAGAAAATTAAAAAGAACATCATGGCACATATGTTTTACATGTTCATGTTCCAAAAACACACTAACGTGGTCTAATGGTTAAATAAAGTGGGTGAAAATTTTGAAGATTAGGATTTAAATCCTAACTTTAAAAAAAACATGAGATTATTTCTTTATAACTGCTTAAGCTTTGGTGAGGCGTAATTATTCTATACTTGTGGTGGTGGAAGATAACATATACTTCCTCTGTTCCAGTTTACGTGAACATATTTCTTTTTTGGTCCGTTCCAAAAAGAATGATACATTTCTAAATTTGGAAATAATTTAGTTTAAACATTCAATTTTACCCTTAATGAGAAACATTTATAACCACACAAATACTCTGGACCCCTTTTTGACTTGTTTAGGACCACAAATTTCAAAAATCTTCATTTTTTCTTAAACTCCGTGTCGAGTCAAACATGTTCACATAAATTGAAACGGAGGGAGTAGTAAGTATCTTTTAAGTCTTGGAGGGGTTTTAAAACTACCTGATACTTATAATAATAAAGAATGAGAGTTTTGGAGCAACAACAAAGTTGATTTCATGTGATCTATAGGTAACGAGTTCAACCATTAATGCTTGCATTATGATAGACTGCTTACATTATACCCTATTATGGTGCGATCCTTCTCCGGACCCTGCGTAAATAATGGATATTTCGTGCACCAAATTGCCCTTTTTCACTTATCTATATTATTATAAAAGCATGAATAAAATTTTGGATTACAAAAATAACCTTTTAATATTAAGCATAATAACTCACAATAAAAGGACATAATCGGAATTCTAGACATTAGCCTTGTAATCCTATTAGTTTTAGGACATAATACTACACGTTAGGAATCCTACATGATTATCTTTAGGAATCCTATTAGTATAATTATTTTCGATAGATATTAGCCTTGTAGTCCTATTACTTTTAGGATATGCTTCTTAAAAAAAATCCTATTACCAATTTAATTTGAAAACGTGTTATATTGTCCAAATTCATTTAGAAACAGGAGAGCATATATTATTATAAAAGTATGAATATAATATTGATAGACTAAAATATTAAACAGAAGAACTCATAGGGAAAGGACATAGCTGTAATAACTTATTTTTTTGGACTACAATAACTTCTATGTTAATTTTTTTAATATTTAAGATTTTAAAATTAATACAATCTCGTCTATTGAATTCTTATTAAAAATATGTAGGAAAGTTTAATAAAATCAATTTCATAAGAATCCTCCATATTGGTAATACATTACCACTTTATAATATTCAATACAAAAAAAAAGGTAATGCTAAACGGACTGCATAAAGCGTTGAAATTGAGAAAAAATCCCCACGATAATATATTATTATATTATATTTGAACTGCTTTCCTACTTAAATAATTTTTTTATTATTAATTTTTCGTGTAATATAGAAAAATATACCAAGTTATTAAAGAATAACTAAGAAATATTTTAAGAATATAAATGTGTGCGAAAAGAAAGAAAGATGTTGGTAAGAGCCAACACACTAATGATTTTGCAAACATAAAGATCTAAAAGTGGAATGTCATCGATCTTTTAACTCTTTGAAAATAAAATTTATGGTGAATAAAGTTATAATCATTGTTAAATATTCAAACATGAGATGAACTAATATTAAGAATCTAAATCAATAGAAAATAAATTATATTTTATGTTAAAAATAAATAATTAAATCTTTCAATTAATTATTTAGCAAGAGAATCCAATTAAATTATTTTTTAAATTCATCAAATGAGTAAAATTATTTTTTAAATTGTAAAAAAAATATATTAAGAAGGACATACAAGTGTTTAAGGAAGCACAATCAAAGCTAAATCCTGAACAAGAATAAGTTTTCAAGACTATATTATAAAAAAAATCGACCCTAGTATAGCGAGATTATCCTTTGTAGATGCCTCCGGCGGAATCGAAATAATATTCCTATGCCATGCATTACTTGCAAATGTCATATCAAGAGGCATGATATTGTTAGCAATAAGAACAAGTGGTGTACCAACAACGATTTTATTATGAGGTCGTACAACTCACTTTAGATTTGATATACCTCTTCAAACAACTGAAATAACCATCACAAATATATCAAATCAGATCAATTGTACTAAATTTATAAGGAAAACAAAAGTGATAATATGGGATGAAGTGCTTTTGGCTAAGCATCAGACAATCGAAACAATCGCCCAGAGTTTAAGAGATATATTGGATATCGATGAACCGTTTGGTAGAAAAGTAATAGTTTGGGAGGTGATTTCTGTCAAGTATAGTTCCAAAAATGACCAAAGCAGAAACTATAAAAGTTAGCTTGCCAAAATTATACTTATGACCTCAAATGAAAAATATTCAAATGACAAGAAATATAAAAGTAAGAAAAGATCCAACATTCAGTGACTTTTTACCTCGTGTCGGAAACGAAGAAGAGCATCCAATAAAAGATGATTTGGTTCTTCTAGAACACTTGGTTATCAATCCTAATGGTAATAATAGTCATTTAAAAAGGAAAATATTTTCGTCATTAGATTAAAACACAATTTGTGCAAATTATATGATGGAAATTAAAGAGCTATCTTAGCTAGTAGAAATGAATATGTTGATCAACTAAATAAAATATTGATTGCTAAGTTTTAAGGTAAAAATAAAATATTTTTCAGTTTTGACTCAACAGAAGATGATACCAACAATAACTACCAAGAAGAATATTTAAATACTTTAATACCAATTGGCCTTCTACCGTACATGTTTGTTGTCAAAGAAGAATACTTAAATTCTTTAATACCAATTGGCCTTCTACCGTACATGTTTGTTGTCAAGTTCATTATTTCGTACGTATGTTAGTGTCACAATATATATAATAAACTAAGTTAAAATTGATCTTCCATTGCATATAGGTTTATGCTCATCATGCTACTGAAAACTTAGATCCGCTGAATAGCTTATGTAATAGTACACATATGGTATATAGAAGTTTTGACAATAACGTCATACATGCAGAACTTATGATACTAGTCAATCTGCTTCTAAGTATGTGTTTATCCCCGAATTCAACTTCCGTCTTCTGAAACTAAAGAATATCCTTTTAAATTTGTGTAAAAATAATTCTCAGTATATTTATGTTTTGTAGTTATAATAAATAAAGTATAAGGACAAACATACTAAATATTAAACTATATTTACCAAAATAGTAACCAAAGCATTAGAAGGAAACATATACAAAAAGCACTGTCTATAAAGAAGTGTTCGGTAAGATACCATCACATTAGATACCTCTAAACTACAATACTTAATTATCTACTTAATATGACTAAAATTGATTATTTATTTAATTAAATTTTATTGTTTCTTCATATAAATAAATATTTAAATATTCATGTGTTATTTATTAACGTGCAACCCACGTTTATAAATACTAGTAATAATAAAAGAGCATATACCGTTTAAATTTTGATGGTTACTCAAAATTCCCTATTTCTTCACCTTCTCATACTCAACTAACCCC